CGACCGTATGTCACCTGTCACCGCATGTCACCTGTCACCGTATGTCACTGTCACCGTATGTCACCTGTCACCGTATGTCACCTGTCATAGGGTCACCTGTCACCTCTGTCCATTGTTTCTCGCATGTCACCTGTCATCGCATGTCCCTGTCACCGCATGTCACCTGTCACCGCATGTCCCCTGTCACCGCATGTCACCTGTCCCCTGTCACCGCATGTCCCCTGTCACCGCATGTCACCTGTCACCGCATGTCACCTGTCACTGCATGTCACCTGTCACCACGTAGCGCCGTGCCTTTTATGTGACTTCTGTTCACAAGTGTTTGCACTTGTGTATTAATACAGGTGTATATAGCGCCCCGCGACGCTACGGTGGTCTGTTGGTGTCTGCGGCTGGCATCCTTCTGTAACACTCTCGTATGTGTAGCGGCCTCCCCTATATAGCGGCCACCAGTCACAGCCCCGCTCCTGTGTCCAGGTAAATCCACCACGGGCTCGCCATAGCCCGTGCTACTTGCAGCTTTGTGTTCCCCCCAGCTGACTCTACAACAACAACACTGCCTCCTCCCTCTGCCTCACCTAGCGTGAGTACTCGTGCCTCTTGAATGAACGGATGACAGCAGCGAGACACTCATAAGTGAACAGGCACGGGGGGCCAGGCACGGGGGCCAGGCACGGGGGCCAGGCACGGGGGGCCAGGCACGGGGGGCCAGGCACGGGGGGCCAGGCACGAGGGCCGGGCACGGAGGGCCAGGCACGGGGGGCCAGGCACGGAGGGACGGACATGAAGGGACAATCACACACAGTCACATGTTCTACCCCGCGTGTTCAACACACCTGCAGTTGTGCCCACATGTGCAACCTTGCCTCGTATCCTTGTATAAACTTGTATATGTTTAACCTGCCATCCTCGTTGGTGTTCCTGGCCGTCCCCACCACCTCCTTCACCGTCCTTCTGGCCGCGCCCACCACCTCCCGTCACCGGGATAAGCGTTATCCCGTCACGCCATAAGTTATCCCGTCACGGCATCACGGCAACGCAATAACACAAAATGCTGCAGGTATCCCCCCCCCCCCCCCGAGGACACGTGGAGGAGAGGGCGGCCAGTGTGAGGGAGGCGGTGGTCTGGAGGGCCACACCACGCAGCCACTACCTTGGTTGTAAATAAGATTCTGGTTGTAAATTATGTTGGGTTGTGTGAGGGGGGGGAAGAGGTTTGTGGGTGGCGGGGAAGGAGGTGGGTGTGACACTGTCGGGGACCAGGAGATGCAGCCTCTAGTGGTGTGTGTGTGTGTGTGTGTGTGTGTGTGTGTGTGTGTGTGTGTGTGTGTGTGTGTGGTGTGTGTGTGCCTGTAGTGGTGTGTGTGTGTTAGGTAATTCCATCACTTTGCCCCTACTGAGGTTGAAATCTAGGAGCCACGTGCTAGATCCCGTCCATGTTCGTGTCTTCTCTCAGACATTTGTAGTCGTCTCCGCATTTCTTATTTATTATGTTTGAATCTCGGCTGTAAATGCTTCATCCACATACTACAAATACAAATAATCGCCAACAGAACCTAAACACCTAACCTAACCAGTGCCTAAATATGTACAATATGCTAATATATAATAATATTAATTTATATTTGAGAAAAGTTCTGTTCCGAATGAACAGCATGTTAATTTTGATGAGTCTTTGGGGTTGACCGCTGGATGGAATGGACTTGGTCAGAGGACGGTTCGGCGTGTGTAAACCGATTTTCATTCATAAACAAGGAGTTTGGCGGCTAATTTAACGAGCTTGGATGTTTGTATGCGAGGACGGGCTGTGGTGTGTGTGGGGGTGTGTTTGTGGAGGTAGATGGTGAGGTGTGTGTAGTGGTGTGTGTGGAGGTAGATGGTGAGGTGTGTGTAGTGGTGTGTGTGTTGAGGTGTGTGGGTGACCACTGGTTCCCAGCAAGCGGGTCAGGAGAGAGATGTAGGCTGCACCAGCGTGACCGCAACACCCGGCCTCACTCAATCACCTTGTTACACTGCTAGCCACACACACTTGTGGCCTGGTCATTGTTCACGCTACTGAGGTAAATATTGTGAAGATCTTGCTGGGTGGAGTGGCCTGGTGGTGGTGTCTACAGTTGTGTGGGTGATGTAGTACAAGTATCACTGTACTCTTGCTCCAGCTACTTCAACTATTACTACCCCATCGCCACCTCAATTACTTTAGTACTATTACTTGTAGTAACAGTAACAATAGTGATTGTCGCCGTAGACGTAGCAGTAATGACAATAGGTGGTAAGTGGTCAAACTATGGTGGTTGAAGGTAACCATTTATTACAGAACCCTTTTTCTAATTAGTCACCGCTAACGACAAACGGGCTCCTTGGCGGGAAAATAAAGAGGAAGAGTACTCTATTCAGATACTCTGTATAGTCTGTGCGAACTGAACACTCCCATGTATAGAGTCTGCGAACTGAACACTCCCATGTATAGAGTCTGCGAACTGAGCACTCCCATGTATAGAGTCTGCGAACTGAGCACTCCCATGTATAGAGTCTGCGGCCTGAGCACTCCCATGTATAGAGTCTGCGGCCTGAGCACTCCCATGTATAGAGTCTGCGGCCTGAGCACTCCCATGTATAGAGTCTGCGGCCTGAGCACTCCCATGTATAGAGTCTGCGAACTGAGCACTCCCATGTATAGAGTCTGCGAACTGAACACTCCCATGTATAGAGTCTGCGAACTGAACACTCCCATGTATAGAGTCTGCGAACTGAACACTCCCATGTATAGAGTCTGCGGCCTGAACACTCCCATGTATAGAGTCTGCGGCCTGAGCACTCCCATGTATAGAGTCTGCGGCCTGAGCACTCCCATGTATAGAGTCTGCGGCCTGAGCACTCCCATGTATAGAGTCTGCGGCCTGAGCACTCCCATGTATAGAGTCTGCGAACTGAGCACTCCCATGTATAGAGTCTGCGAACTGAGCACTCCCATGTATAGAGTCTGCGAACTGAGCACTCCCATGTATAGAGTCTGCGAACTGAGCACTCCCATGTATAGAGTCTGCGGCCTGAGCACTCCCATGTATAGAGTCTGCGGCCTGAGCACTCCCATGTATAGAGTCTGCGGCCTGAGCACTCCCATGTATAGAGTCTGCGGCCTGAGCACTCCCATGTATAGAGTCTGCGGCCTGAGCACTCCCATGTATAGAGTCTGCGGCCTGAGCACTCCCATGTATAGAGTCTGCGAACTGAGCACTCCCATGTATAGAGTCTGTGCGAACTGAACACTCCCATGTATAGAGTCTGTGACCTGAACACTCCCATGTATAGTCTGCGGCCTGAACACTCCCATGTATAGTCCGTGACCTGAACACTCCCATGTATAGAGTCTGTGACCTGAACACTCCCATGTATAGAGTCTGCGGCCTGAACACTCCCATGTATAGAGTCACACACTGAACACTCCCATGTATAGAGTCTGTGACCTGACATCCCATGTATAGAGTCTGTGACCCTCCACCCATGTATAGCGTCCGTAACCAAGAGTGTGTCACACACTAATATTATTTAACTAAGTGTGGAGACATTAGACAACTTGGACCCTCCGCTCTGACAACTTGTGATGGCCCGTGAGAGGTGTTGAGGTGTGTGGTGGTCGTGGTGGTGACCTCTCACACTCTCCACGGTGTCTTGGTGGTGGTGGTGGCAAACAAACACCAGTCTGCGGCAGGTGGAGGATATACTTAACTATTACAAATATAAGAATGTGGTAATTGTGAGGGTGGAGTTAATTGGCAGTTAACCCTGAACACCCTCGAGGGGGGGGGGGGGAGGTATGTAAAGTGAAGCAATTTGTCAAACTTCCCGCGCAATGCTATCTTACCTTGAGGTGTTTCCGGGGCTTACCGTCCCCGCGGCCCAGTCGTCGGCCAGGCCTCCTGGTTGCTGGACTGGTCAACTTGGATGTTGGACGCGGCTGGTCGCAGCCTGACGTATGAGTCACAGCCTGGTTGATCAGGTATCCTTTAAAGGTGTTTATCCAGTTCTCTCTTGAACACTGTGAGGGGTCGGCCAGTTATGCCCCTTATGCGTAGTGGAAGCGTGTTGAACAGTCTCGGGCCTCTGATGTTGATAGTTCTCTCTCAGAGTACCTGTTGCACCTTTGCTCTTCAACGGGGGTATTCTGCACATCCTGCCATGTCTTCTGGTCTCATGTGGTGTTATTTCTGTGTGCAGGTTTGGGACCTGCCCCTCTAATATTTTCCACGTGTAAATTATTATGCATCTCTCCCGCCTGCGCTCAAGAAAATACAGATTTAGGCTCTTTAGTCGGTCCCAATAGTTTAGGTGCTTTAACTGAGTGGATTCTAGCAGTAAAGGATCTCTGCACACTCTCCAGGTCAGCAATTTCTCCAGCTTTGAAAGGGGCTGTCATTGTGCAGCAGTACTCCACTCTAGAGAGCACTAGCGTCTTGAAGAGTATCATCATCGGTACAGCATCTCTAGTTTTGGGCCAGGTATGAGTGAGCAAATGTGTGAGAGTGAATGAGTGTGTATTTACCTAACCTAACTTGCAGGAGCGAGTCTCATCTCCTGGGCCCGCCATTTCCCCCTATCACCTGTGTATTCGAATGTTTCCATTTTCTCTCCAGTCATATCTGTGTTTCAGACTGCTAACATTCCCTTCTAACACGCTCCACTGACCACCTCCTGCAGTGTCTTCACGCACTCTCTGGCTCTGTATGTATGACAAAAGTTGAACATTTGCAAGAGTGTATTGCAAAATTTTACCATTGGCCAGGGGGGGGGTGGCCTTCTGATTTTTCATAACTATAATTTCTTGTCAAATAGTTATATTTCCAAAATACAGGTTTGGAACGTACAAAACATGTACATGATGTGCACACCTGTTTTAATAATTGTGTGTTCTAACCTAATTGTGTTTGCGGGGGTTAAACTTTGGCTCTTTGGTCCCGCCTGATATGTTTGTATTGACGATGGTATCTGTGTTGTTTCAGCGGTGGCAGCGACGATGGTTCGTGCTCTACGACGACGGGGAACTGACCTACTCCGTGGATGACCATGTGAGTATATCCAAGTGTTGGAACCCCCGGTCTCTACCGCAACATGTACTACAACGTCTTCATAAAATGTTGCCATTCTTATTTAAGATCTGTGTGTATGTGTTGGTCACCTTTGGATATGTTACAACACTGCCCGCCAACTACACTAAAACTAAACTATTTATGAAGATTAAACTTTGATTTGATTAAACGTTGGAATTTATTTACAATAAAAGTTCATACATCAAAAGTGACAGAACTTTACTCTAGCTTATTTATAAATTATTTTAACTGTTGCGAATGTGTTCCTGAATTGTGTCTAGAACTTTTGGACAATTGTTATATGGTGATGGAGAGCGGGGGGGGGGGGGGGAAGGGAAGTGTCGGTGTGGCCTTCTTCATGCCCTCCTCCGAGGAAGGAGGAAGTGCTACATAAGGCGCTAAGGAGAGCACCATATGACCAGACAGTCCAGGAGCTCCAGGAACTCCTGAACACAACCACTAAACACCAGTCTACAGCACCAAGCCTCCAGGGTGTGGAACACCATCCTTATGTTACAAGACCCGATGTTAGACAGATTACTCCAAGATGAGACGCCCCGCTCCCACAGCTGGTGGCCCAAGATGAGACGTCCCACTCCCACAGCTGGTGGCCCAAGATGAGACGCCCCGCTCCCACAGCTGGTGGCCCAAGATGAGACGTCCCACTCCCACAGCTGGTGGCCCAAGATGAGACGTCCCACTCCCACAGCTGGTGGCCCAAGATGAGACGTCCCACTCCCACAGCTGGTGGCCCAAGATGAGACGTCCCACTCCCACAGCTGGTGGCCCAAGATGAGACGTCCCACTCCCACAGCTGGTGGCCCAAGAGCCTAAGTTTACTCTATGGAAGCCCAGCCCTACAACACATTATTCCTAGATGAAATACTGATCAGAAATCCCCCCTAAAAGAACAGTAATAAATTTAAGACCCACAAACAACATTAACATGTGTACTCACCTGGTAGAAGGTACACCTCTGAGTACAACATCCGAGTAGAAAGTGAAAGCATCTGAGTGTATGTGTGTGAATGCTACATAGTGTTCATCAATAGACATCCATATATGGTGAAACACACGTGAAGAACTTCTCACACACTCGCAGCTCCCTGACAAGGCAGAGGCAGCTTGGCTGCCAACACCCACACATCGTGTCAGCAAGGCGGACTGCCCGCCTGCTCTCATAACATGGAGGGAGGGGCCCGTGGTCGAGGGAGGGAGGGAGGGAGGGAGGGGCCCGTGGTCGAGGGAGGGAGGGAGGGATGGAGGGGCCCGTGTCGAGGGAGGGAGGGAGGGAGGAGGGGCCCGTGGTCGAGGGAGGGAGGGAGGGAGGGAGGGGCCCGTGGTCGAGGGAGGGAGGGAGGGGCCCGTGGTCGAGGGAGGGAGGGAGGGAGGGAGGGAGGGACCCGTGGTCGAGGGAGGGAGGGAGGGACCCGTGGTCGAGGGGAGGGAGGGGCCCGGCCCCCCGAGGGAGGGAGGGAGGGACCTTTTGTTGTTATTTGGTTGATTATGCTCCCTAAACGTTAGGTCGTCAGACATCATTATTCCCAGGTCCTTGTGTGTTCTTGTTCTTGTATGGGTAGGAATTAGGGTTGCTAGTGGGTATGGGTAGGAGAACAAGGTCGTCTTACACACTGTGTTTCCTTAAGGGCCTCATTTCCTCCATACTAAGTACCTCGAATTGGTCACTGTTAAATATAATTTTTTTTCTCCCCAATTTAAAACTTTATTAATATCAGCTTTTTTAGCGTCTTACTATCCCCCCCCCTCCCCCCCCCCCCTGGGAGCAAGACTAGTAACTGTGTGACTCACCATAGATGAAAAGGGCCTTGTATTGTGACTGTTGTGAACCGCTTGTTGAATCACTTGATACAAAAGACTATTGATTTGTTTAGGTGATTGTATATGTATGTATATGTATATATATGTGCATGTATGTATGTATGAGTATGTGTACATGTATATATAACATCAATAATTGTGTAACTAGTGTCAAAACCCTCCACCTAAGAAGCTGATTAAAGAACAAGCCATGCTTCGTCAAGAAGCAAAGTACAATGCCTTAAGCCAAACTAATGCTTTGGTCAGAGAGCGTTCCCTTGCCCTAATTATTTACACTGATGGATCCTTGCACCAGTCCCATGGTGCAGCTGGAAGTGCAGTTGTTGTGACAGCGAGAGATGGTTGGGATAGATGATGGAAGAGATGGTTCATGGGAGTTCCTTCTCCCATGTGTGTGGAGCGCATCTAAGTAACTGGGCCTCCACTCCTCGTACAGAACCGGTTGCCAAAATCCTTGCACTCGAGCGCGTATATGAATCCAAAGTTGACACGCTAATTGTAAGTGACTCCTTGTCATCCTTGACTGCCCTCAGCTCCCCAAGGCATAACTGTGACGTGCTTATCTCTGAAGCTAGACACAGATATAATGAAATAATGAATGGAGTCAGATACATACTCAGATGGAGTCAGAGTTTGTCTCCTGTGGATTCCTTCCCATATTGGTCTCTGAATGCATGATAGAACTGATGAGTTGGCCAAGACTTTTGCTCGTAAAGAGGGAATTGATTACCAACTTGGACTGCCTTTGAGCTGCCTGAGGGCAGTAATATTACGGGAACATCAACTAAATTTCGGAGACTTGAGGCAAAGTGAATTTCACACCAGTTACTCCATCTATCATCATTCTATTATGCAGGAAGAATCGCACGTCTATGGGTCATCCAATAAGGTTAGCAGACGTCTAGATGTTAACACTGCTAGGCTTAGGCTCGGCTACAAGTACCTGTGGCAGTTTGTAACATCTGTTGATGTAGATTTGACTAAATGTAAACTCTGTCAGCAGAACTATTCGCATACTTTGCGTCATTATATAATTGAATGTGGAACACTCGCGGAATTCAGAGAGAACACTATCAATGGAGTCCAAGAATTGTGTAAGTACTTCATTCATAATGATGTGCTGCCAGGAATCTTAGCGAAGTATCCAAAATTTGCTTACTATAAGTAATGCATGCACATGACTGTAAAGCTGCCGCCCAGTTGGGTGGGTGTGGAGCACATGACTGTAAAGCTGCCGCCCAGTTGGGTGGGTGTGGAGCACATGACTGTAAAGCTGCCGCCCAGTTGGGTGGGTGTGGAGCACATGACTGTAAAGCTGCCGCCCAGTTGGGTGGGTGTGGAGCACATGACTGTAAAGCTGCCCGCCCAGTTGGGTGGGTGTGGAGCACATGACTGTAAAGCTGCCGCCCAGTTGGGTGGGTGTGGAGCACATGACTGTAAAGCTGCCGCCCAGTTGGGTGGGTGTGGAGCAAGACTAGTAACTGTGTGACTCACTATAGATGCAAAGTGTCTTGTATAGTGACTGTTGTGAGCCTCTTGTTGATCACTTGTGACACAAAAGATTATTGATGTGTGTATTTGTGTAGGTGATTAAATATGTATGTGAATAAGTGTATATATATATAGTATATATATATATATATCTATATATATTATATTATATATATATATATATATATATATATATATATAGATATTATATATATATATATATATGTATTAGTATATGTACATATACATATAACATTAATAATTGTGTAACTAGCTACATTATGTCCTCTGTAATTGTTAGGTGTTTGCTAAATATGCTATATTTATGCGTATATATATGTACATATATGTATGATTATGTGTACATGTATATATTAACACTATTATTGTGTAACTATCGTCAAAAGATTGTTATTTTGCTTAGCTAAACGAACTAGAGGGTTCAGTTCCTGAACCGATTATGTGCCTCTGTAATCCTTTACACCACCGCCCACGGGATGGGTATGAGGTGTGCCAATGACTACCATGTTGTGTGGGTATGTGGTTCTTAATGTGAAGGTGCTCAGCTGGGGGTTCTATCCACAATGCTAGTGGGATTTGAGGGAAATGAATAGAGTTTAAAAGGGATTGTCTTTAGTTGGTGGTTATTGAAAGAGTATGTGAATTTTGGGATTGTTGAAGGTTGTGTTCGGCAGTCTTGCTGCCATAGTGATTGTCATTTTTGTTCTATGCTCTGGCGGTTAACATAATTGTATATTACAATGCCTATGATTAGTTGAGTGATGTAATCATTGTAGCATGTGGGCAGAGGGTTGTATAGAGGGTGAGGTGTGTAGTGGAGACACCACTACACTACACTGTGTGTGGTGGTGGATGAGTGTGTGGTGGTGGTGGTGGATGAGTGTGTGTGGTGGTGGTGGATGAGTGTGTGTGTGGTGGTGGAGGAGTGTGTGTGTGTGGTGGCGGGAGTGTGTGTGGTGGTGGTGGAGTGTGTGTGTGGTGGTGGAGGAGTGTGTGTGTGTGGTGTGGTGGAGGAGAGTGTGTGTGTGTAGTGGAGGGGTGTGTGTGTGTGGTGGTGGAGAGTGTGTGTGTGTGGTGGTGGAGGGGGTGTGTGTGTGGTGGTGGAGGAGTGTGGTTGTGGTGGTAGTGAGGAGTGTGTGTGTGGTGGTGGAGGAGTGAGTGTGTGGTGTGATGGAGTGTGTGTGTGGTGGAGGAGGACGTGTGTGTGTGGTGGTGGAGGAGTGTGTGGGTGGTGTGGTGTGTGGTGGAGTGTGGTGTGTGTGTGGTGGTGGAGGAGTGTGTGTGTGTGTGGTGGTGTGGAGGAGTGTGTGTGTGTGGTGGTGGTGGAGGAGTGTGTGTGGTGTGGTGGTGGAGGAGTGTGGTGGTGTGGTGGTAGTGGGAGTGTGTGTGTGTGTGGTAGTGGAGGAGTGTGTGTGTGTGTGTGGTGGTAGGTGGAGGAGTGTGTGTGTGTGGTGTGTGGTAGTGGAGGAGTGTGTGTGTGTGTGGTGGTGGTGGAGGAGTGTGTGTGTGTGTGAGGTGGTAGGGTGGAGAGAAGTGTGTGTGGTGTGTGGTGTGGAGGAGTGTGTGGTGTGGTGGGGGGTGGAGGAGTGTGTGTGTGTGGTGGTGGAGGAGTGTGTGTGTGTGTGTTA